TCTGTGGTTGCAGCACAGTCTGAACTTCTACATCAGAAAAGAATTACTTTGGTCTCATAATTAATAGTATTTGTATTTGTGATAAACGATGGAAGCCAACACTAGTAGAATGGTTACTTTGAATGGCACAAACTATGCCATTTTGAAGGGCAAAATGGAAGATTTGCTCTATGTCAAGAATTTTTATCAACCTGTCTTCACCACTATAATTTCTGATAATAAATCAGATAAAGAGTGGAATTTGTTACACATGCAGGTTTACGGCTTTATTAGACAGTGGGTTGATGATAATATTTTGAACCATATTTCTGGGGAGACACATGCTCGGACTCTACGGGAGCACCTTGAAAGTTTGTATGCTCGGAAAATTGGAAACAACAAGATGTTTCTGATAAAGCAGATGTTGGGTTTAAAATACCATGATAGTTCCACGATGACAGATCATCTGAATAATTTTCAGGGGATTATGAACCAGTTATCTGCTATGGGCATTAAATTTGATGAAGAAATTCAAGGCCTGTTTCTATTTGGTTCCCTACTAGATTCTTGGGAAATTCTTGGAACTTTATTATCAAATTCTGCTCTGGATGGTGTGATCTCTATAGATCTTGCCAAGAGCAGCCTTTTAAATAAATAGATGAGAAAAAAATCTCAGGGTTCCTCCTCATCAGATGTCTTGGTGACTCACTCTAGGGGGAGAAGCAATAATCGGGGTTCTCAAAATAGAGAACATAATATAAGCAAATCCAGAAGCAGACTTAAAGATATTGAGTGTTATCATTGCGGGAAGAAAGGGTACACAAAGAAGTTCTGCCGGATTTTGTAAAAGGAGAATAGAGACAAGGAAGAATAGAAAGAAGATGTCAATTGTGTAGTCACTGTCACTACAGAAGATCTTGTTAATGCCCTTTATGCGGATCTGATAAATATTGCTTGTGATGAGTCAAGCTGGGTTGTGGACAGTGGTACCGCATCTCATGTGACACTAAGGAAGGAATTATTCTCACCCTATACTCAGGGCGACTTTGGAACTTTGAGTATGGGTAACGAGACTGTATCTAGGGTGGCTGGTATTGGAACGATTTGTTTAGAAACTAGTATTAGAACTAAACTAGTTTTAAACAATGTAAAACATGCACCTGGTGTTCGTTTGCACTTGATCTCTGTTGGTGTTTTGGATGATGAGGGATATGTCAGTACCAATGGTACTAAAAAGTGGAAGCTCACTGAGGGTTCCATGATTGTGGCTCATGGGGAAAAACGTTGTGGTCTATACTGGACTATGGCCTCTACCTGTGTTGATATGGTGAATGTCGTTGAGAGCAATAGCTCTTTAACGTTATGGCATAAGAGGCTTAGCCACATTAGCGAGAAAGGACTAAATGTTCTGGTCAAGAAGAAATTGTTGTCAAATTTTGAAAGTGCAAAATTAGAAAAATGTGAGCACTGCTTGGCTGGAAAACAAAAAAGAGTTTCTTTCCAATCTCATCCTCCTTCAAGAAAGACAGAGTTGCTTGAGTTGGTGCATTCAGATTTATGTGATCCAATGAAGACAAGGACTTTGGTTGGTGCACTTTATTTTGCTACTTTTATTGATGATTGCTCAAAGAAACTTTGGCTCTACATATTGAAGACTAAAGACCAAGTGTTGGGTGTCTTTAAGCATTTTCAGGCTTCAGTTGAAAGAGAAACTGGAAAGAAGCTGAAGTGTATTCGTACTGACAACGGTGGTGAATATTGTGGACTGTTTGATGAATACTGCAAACAACAGGGTATCAGACACCAGAAGACTCCTCCTAAGACTCCTCAGCTTAATGGTTTAGCAGAAAGGATGAATAGGACCTTGATGGAAAGAGTCAGATGTTTGCTTTCTGAAGCAAAGTTGCCAAATTGTTTTTGGGGTGAGGCTTTGTTGACCGCCGCATATGTTATTAATCTATCCCCTGCAGTTACTTTGCAAAGTGATGTTCCAAACAGAGTTTGGTATGGCAAGGATGTTTCTTATGACCACTTGAAAGTGTTTGGTTGCAAAAAGTACATGTGCCTAAAGATGAGAGGTCAAAATTAACTGCCAAGACAAGGTAGTGCATCTTTATTGGTTATGGCCTTGATAAGTTTGGTTACAGGCTATATGCTCCAATTGAGAAGAAGGTCGTGATAAGCCATGATGTTATCTTTGTGAAGGATCAAACCATTGAAGATATTAACAAAGCGGAGAAGATAAAATCTCCAAGTTCTGAAGGTTTAGTTAATCTTGATCAAGTTCCTCATACAAATGCAGATGGCGTTGGTGGGATCAATGATGATGGTGATGCCCAGAACTATATTCCAGATCAACATATTGATAGTGATGGTGATAACAATGCTAATGTTGATGAGGTAGATGCTCATACTCACGAAGCTATGGACGAGGTAGACATTCGACTCAAGAGATCTTCTAGACCTCATACTCCTTCCTCCCGTTATTCACCCAATGAGTATGTATTACTCACTGATGGGGGAGAACCTGAATGTTATGCGGAGGCCATAGAAGATGAGCACAAGGATCAATGGATTGAAGTCATGCAAGATGAGATGAAATCTCTGCATGAGAACCATACTTACGAGTTGGTGAAATTGCCTAAGGGCATGAGAGCTTTGAAGAACAAGTGGGCGTTCAAAGTTAAAGTTGAAGAACATAGTTTGAAGCCCAGATACATAGCTAGATTGGTTGTCAAGGGATTTGGTCAAAGGAAAGGTATTGACTTTGACGAAATATTTTCTCCTGTCGTGAAAATTTCCTCCATTCGAACAGTTCTTGGTTTGACTGTCAGTCTTGATTTGGAGATTGAGCAGATGGATGTGAAGACTGCTTTTCTTCATGGTGACTTAGAAGAGGAGATTTATATGTAACAACTGAAGGCTTCAAGGCAAAAGGTAAAGAAAACCTTGTATGCAAACTTAAGAAGAGTCTATATGGATTGAAGCAAGCTCCCAGACAATGGTACAAGAAGTTTGAGTCTGTTATGGGGGAGCAAGGCTACAAGAAGACTTCATCAGATCACTGTGTGTTTGTACAAAGATTTTCTAATGATGACTTTATCATCCTCTTGCTACATGTGGATGATATGTTGATTGTGGGCAGGAATGCTTCCAAGATTGACGAATTGAAGAAACGGTTGAATAAGTCTTTTGCAATGAAAGACTTGGGTCATGCTAAGCAGATTTTGGGCATGAGAATTACTCATTCGAGAAACGAAAGAAAGCTTTACTTGTCACAGGATAAGTACATAGAACGTGTACTAGAGCGCTCCAATATGAAAAGTGCTAAGTTGGTTCGCACACCCCTTTCTAGTCATCTAAAGTTGAGTAAGAAGATGTGTCCTACAACAACGGAGGAAAAAGAGAGAATGGCCAAGATTCCCTATTCCTCCGCTATTAGAAGTTCGATGTATGCAATGGTATGCACTCGACCAGATATTGCTCATGCAGTCGGTGTTGTTAGCAGATTTCTCAAAAATCCAGTAAAGGAGCATTAGGAAGTTGTAAAGTGGATACTCAGGTATCTAAGAGGAAGCTCTCATGAATGCTTATGTTTTAGAGGATCAAATCCAATTTTGAAAGGCTATACAGATTCTGATATGGCAAGTGACCTTGATAACAGAAAATCCACTATTGGATATTTGTTTACTTTTTCAGAGGGAGCTATATCATGGCAGTCGAAGTCGCAGAAGTATGTCGCACTAGCTACAACTGAAGCGGAGTATATTGCGGCTACTGAAGCTGGCAAAGAGATGATATGGCTCAAGAGATTTCTTCAAGAACTTGGATTGCGACAGATGGAGTATGTTGTCTATTGCGACAGTCAGAGTGCAATAGACTTGAGCAAAAACTCCATGTACCATGCGAGAACAAAATACATTGACGTCAGATATCATTGGATTCGTGAGCAAGTGGAGAACGAATCACTTCAGGACAAAAAGATTCACACAAGTGAATCCTGCTAATATGTTGACCAAGGTGATACCAAGAGATAAGTTTGAGCTATGCAAAGAACTTGTCGACATGCACTCAGACTATAAGATAGTGCTACCTCCTCTACATGAATGAGACTGGAGGGGGAGATTGATATGGTGTCCATCTCATTCAAATGATTTGGTAGCCAATTTTGTTGACTTGGTTTGGTTTGGTAGCCAACCTTATTGAAATTGTGAAAAGGGTGTGCAAATTGTCAAATATTGTATGCTTTAGAGAGTGAGGTTTCGGCTATAAAAGGAGAGCTTTAACTCTCATTTCCACACACCAACAAAGAGAGAAAAGAGAGAGAGAGCAAGGTATTTCATAAACTATAAGAAAATAGTTTGTGAAGAAAAATAGAGTGTCAGAAATATTGTAGTTAGGTGAAAAAAGCAAAAGAGTGTTTATTTCTTTTGAGGGTGTAGTGGTCTTAGGAGTATTTTTACTCGTTACTACATAGTGTAAAATTTCTCGCTATAGTGATATCAGTTGCTCTTCTTGGTCGTGGTTTTTCCCTTATTCAGAAGGGTTTTCGCGTAAAATCTTGGTGTCATTATTGCTGCATTTCTATTCTTGCTGATTTAACCATAACTTAGTGTTCAACGTTTATCACTAATACCGTGAATACTATTTTACGGGGTTTATTCCCAACACCTTGATCTTTTGGGCTGAATCTTCAAGTTGAGGGTTGTAGTGCAGTGAGATGGACTTTAATGAAGCAATATCCCCAAAACTGTCTGGGATCTCCATAAGCGTACACAACCATTATATTCGTAATTCCTCGAGCTCAGGGAAGGATTCCTCTCCATTAACCAGCCATTCAGAAATTTGAGATTCTTGAAGGTCACTTCTTCCATGTTCCATTCTTTCCCCTGGATGACTGCTTTTTCAATATGCAGGTTTTGAAGGTTGGGTAGTCTCGCAGTTCCTGACAGTGAATCGGATGTCAGATCAAACTTAAACGACTCCAATTTTTTCAAGCTCGAAGGGAAGTGGATATCAAACTATGTGGAGAACAGGACAACATTTTCATCGACACGAGTGGTCACTTTACGTGGAATCAGATCTGACGAAGAAGACGACAGAGCATTTGAACTTACAAAGTCAAACAACTTCTCCTTTCCAGCTTTTATCAAACAAAAGTCATGCACAAGATTATGAATTTAATACCTTGGGTCCCTGCCAACTCTCTTATTGAAAACTATTACCAAGCTACTGGAAATTAACTCATCCACATAAACCTCCAGTACTTCTTCGACACTCTTCATTTCAGTTGGTTCCACATGTCCTTCTGAACTCCATAGATATTTCAATGTAGAGATTTCAATACTTTGGTCCTTTCCATAGCTTGCAAGATAAAGCAAGTACGGCTTTAAGTGATCTGATAAATGGTCATAACTTAACTGTATAACCTTCATCACTCCCTTTTCATCCTTCCTTACAATGACTCCACTGATCAGATCAAGTACCAAAGGAAGCCCTTCACACTTTCTGGCTATTTCTTCTCCAACTTCCAATAGTTCATCAGGGCAACTTTCTTCTCCGAATATCCTTTTCTCTAATAACTCCCAACTTTCTTCTAGTCTGAGCAATCGAAGATAAAGAGGATCACTGTGGCGTTTACTTTGAAAAGCCACTTCCTGTATTCGACTTGCTAAAATAACTCTGCTTCCTTTCTTATTATCAGGAAAAGTCATTGTTAGCTCATACCATGTTGCAGTATCCCACATGTCATCCAAGACAATAAGGTACCTCTTTACAAACAGCTGTTTCCGTTGCTTATCAGCAATGTTATCATCTATGCCATCATCATTGGATCTTTCTTTCAAACCAATAACTTGATTAAAATAAATTTGTAACAACTTTTTCACGTTACGTTCTTGGTCGTCTGTGCACCAAGCACAAACGTCAAAATGATCAACAATAGTCTTGTCATTATATACTTTGTAAGCCAAAGTAGTTTTTCCAAGCCCTGGAATGCCAACTTCAGAAATGACATCTATCCCAGCTGGTCCACTGGTGAGCTTCTTAATTATCTACTTTGTCTCCTCCTCAAAACCTACAATTAGCTGACCAACTGTTGATGACTTGCTAATTTCATATTGCTTGCTGGGAGAGTTCACAACAAGAAGGTCCATGTTCTTGGGGATCTTCTGTGGTACTTCTTCTTTGATAAGCTTGATCTTTTTTACGGTATCAGAAAGTAAGAAGATAAGTTGCAAGAGACCATGATCTCTGACAGGAATTGAGTTAATGGCATGTTCTGCCTCATATGCCACATCTAGAACACGAATCCAAAGATCTGTATGCAAAACTTGCTCAACATTCCCGAAGAATGATATGATGAACTCTAGATCTTTTTTCACTAGCCCAATTTCTTCCTTTATCAAAGCAACTGAATAAGCATTGGAATTGAGCAAATCATTTAAGTTTTTGAGTAGAAGAGTCATGAAGATTAGTCCATCACTCATGGGGAAGATGTCTGGGGCTTTCATATAAACATGTTTGAGATCTTCCTTCAGAAGTTCAACATTTCCAGCAAGTCTAGAGTTGCACAGTTTGTTTCATTGGTATTCTTTTTACGCCTTGATTTCTCTTCTAAGTGGCAAACAAGAATGGGAACCTCCCTGGTAAGTGCTACAACACGTGCAAAGAGAACAGACAATTTGTCATGATGAATAACGTCCTTGGGCTATAATCAATAGGAACTCTATCATGACATGAATGTTTCGAGTTGAAGTGTTAGCAGTAAGAGCAATTACCATGTGCACCTGTAGATGAATCGGATATTCTCTAAGAATGTCTAGAGAGGCTTCTAGGAGCTGTTTAATGAAGCGTCCAACTTTTGCTGACTTCGAATCTTTCAAATTTGTAAAACATATATGTGCATAACCTCTAGTTCAACAGGAATGATCTTCACAAGTAGACGAGCTAGCATGGAATTGACTTAAGGGACATCAAGTATGTCATCCATATCATCAGAATCATCTGTTTCATAAAGTTAATAGGTTACATCTATTGTGTCAAGTTGATGGTTCAAAAGGACAAAGCAGAGGTGTCCTACTCTCTCGACCAAAAGCAGAAACTCAGGTAAGATATATTCCATTGTCTCATTCTCAATGCAACCATTTACTTTCAGCCCATGGAAATCTCTTAAATTGCCACATATATACATTCTGAAGAAGCTCATATTGAGTCATCGATGGGAATATCAACTCGGCACGGTACTTAGATGATGGAGATTTACAAGGAGGGCATCAAAAAGTTCAACCAACTGATCCTCAGTCATGGTGTCACTTGATTCAGAATAATCACGTGAGCTTTTAGAACTTTTGATATTTTCCAGAAGGCGAGGAACGACATGATCCTTTAATTTAACCAGCATGTCATCTCCACTCTGATGAAAAAGTGACTGAACCAGATCACGAACCTCATAATCTGGTTTGCAAGATATTTCAGCATGGAAACCATCCGAAATAAACTAACAAATCCGTAAACATGCTGACACAAATGTCAGCTCCAATGCAAGCTTTTCAAGTTCATCCATGTCAAGAGAAATTTGAACTCGTCCATTCTTTAATCTCTCTATGAAATCCAAAAGATTGAGAATGTCCTTGCGAAGTACAGCAGACGACACCTGCCAAAAGACCAAATGTTATATCAAAATTTCAATGCCACATATTCACCATCAAATTTTTTACTCTTAAGTCTTAACTAGTAGGCAATTAACATAAGTGTAAAGGGCCTTCTCCAAAATAGCTTTACTGGATAAGCTAAATGCTTGTCCTGTAGTTACAACTTTTGTTACAAAGCAAGCATCTCAAAGAAACATGGTTTAATTTGTATATGTTATTTACTCAAAATAAGGGTGAACCAAGTTCAACAGTAACAAAGAAAAAAAAAAGTAATTTCTGATTTTTTTTAAACCTTAGTACGATCGAGTTTCTACTGATCTATCCACCCACAAACTAGTTAGTTACTCGTCCATTAGAGAAAAAAAACAACTTTTATTCTATATATATTTCTTTACAGAGTATGCATAAAATATGGATGCATGGATGATTTAGTAAATACTTTCTTAAACCGTTTTTTGGAGGAAGAGGTGAAAAGAGATAACTAACAAACATATAAAACTGTCTTGCAAATTATAACTGACAAGGATCGATAAGCTTTATATTGTTTATGTAATTTATTTTGCTTTAACCGTAAACATGCGACTTAACTTCTTCTTATGAGCTTGCACCCATCACTAGTCCCACACGGGGACAAATGAGGAGGGTCGCAGTAGGCTGACAACCCCGGCGTAAAACTAATTAATATATGTTGGATCCTCAAAATATAGAATATATATATAGAGAGCTTAAATAAAGCGAAATGGTTTATGAAGATTCATAAACCATTTATGAATTTCTAATTAATATTTATGAAGATTGAGATAGCAGTTATTGTTGTATAATATTTGATTAGCCTCATTTTGTGTTATGAACTTATTTCTTAATGTTTAGAAACGATTCATATTGGAACAAAATCAGTTTCAGTACTTGATGCTCATAAGTTACTTTAACTTCAATCAAGTAAGCCAAACTGGCTCTAAATTACCAGCGTTTTACGCAAGTAATATTACTTTTAAGAGTCTTATTATCAGGGGCGAAGCTATGTTGGCTCAAGGAGGGTCAAACTGAACATCCTTCGCCAAAATATTATACTATGTATAATTTAAAATATTACCACTTGTTATTGATTAAAAAATACACTTTGAACACCCTTGCATAGCCTCTCACTATTCTTAACATTTGAAATATAATAGATGATGAGATTGGAGTCACAAGCTTTAGAAAAATCTAAGTACATCAGAAGTTCTCAACAAGAAAGTATTGTGGATGTTTAGTCAGTCATTAACAGCTTGTGGATTTATTATAAATCCCTAATATTTATACCTTTTCTTATTTCTGATTTTGGTTTGAAAACAGCATGAAACGTTTAAAACTACATGGGAAAAAGCTAAATTTGAGATTCTCTGAATGCTAAACTGACAAAAAGAGTCATTAATAAAACTATCACATGTATATAGAGCTACTAGATAATCTTGCCCATGCTTCGCATGGGCCCAACAATTCTAAAGTTCTCTTTATTTGTTGCGGTAGTCACAAATAAATTGAGTTAATTGTAAAGAATATATGTATCAAAGTAATATTTCACTTGATCATCCATTTCATGGATGGTATTTTTTTTCTTTTTTTTTTTTACTGAAGTTGTCCTTGCACGTCAATTGTGTGGAAAGCATCCTTAGGCTGTATTTTCAACTTTCATACTGCTCAACTCTGTCTACAAGGCTCTTCTACCAGTCCATGTTGTTCTACAGTATAAGCTGCTCATATGAGATGCCTATTCATATCACTTTATCTGGACAATTCCACTGATCCTCCCTGGCCACCTTCTTGGATGGATTTCATGAATCTGCAAAGCAAAAGATAAAAGTAATGAGAAGGAAAAAACTGTGGTATTCAGTCAATTAGAAACCAAAAAAGAGAGAAGAAAATTTATTACTTATTTTTTGTTGGAATTGATACTTAGAATTCGTGTTTGTCATTATTATTGTCTGGTGGTTTTCAAGCTTTTTGAATATTCTGCTGGAACATACATTTGTTGTTTATTACCATACTATAGCTTTTAACATCATGGAATTGCAATAGGTACAGAATTTCAGTTGGATTTTTGTGCTGAAGAGTTGGCAATCAGTGAGGTCGCGAGGACTGTGTCAAAATATAATAAATCTGACGCATAATAGACAGCACTCAGTCGAAGCACACATTGGGTCTGAACAAGAGATGAGAGATGCAGTTGATGAGCCAGCAGCATCATAGAAGTTGAGCTAAACCTGCAAGAACACAAGTGTGAGGAAATTTTGAAAGAAGAATTTCCAATATAATAATTTATACAAAAAAACTGAAGAAGTAACAACAATATGATGGAGAATATTGGCTGTGTCGAAAGAGTGATACATCACAGTATATGCTACCTTTGTAACCACAACCGCTAAGATGATTGACTTCAATAATAACACAAAGAAAATGTCAAATTTGATCATAATACAAAACTCATCAAGTTCAACTATAAATTCTACATCAGAAAAAGAAGCAATAATTAAAGCAAACAGTTCAGAGTCAAACCAACTTCATCAGTACAAATAACATTTTTGATGAAGCCATCAGTAAAAATAGCATTGGATCAACACCAATAACAAAACACAGAATATAATCCTGCAAATACATTTTTATACCTTTCAATCTCAGGAACCACCAGCAACAAAATAGTAAGTGCATCATCATGCAAAGTACAGTTTATATAAATTCTCCGCAACTGTTTCCTCAGCTATTCCGAAAACGTTTGATGCTGTATTGGTGATAAAACATTGGGAAGAAAGTCAGTGAACCAAGTTTCCTAAGCAAAGACCTTCGATTAACCGATGGTGTCAAAAGTGACAGCAAATTCTGAAGATGAAGCAGAGGCAGAAAGAGGAAGAGCAGAGGGAAACGGAAGCAGATTAATCGCTGTGAGATAGAAAGAAATCTGAAGATGAAGCAGAGAAAGAAAGAGGATGAACAGAGGGAGGAATTAGTCGTTGGCAGTGAGAGTCCCTAAATCACACTACCCGTCAAAGTTACCATACGCGTGTTAGCTATTAGCAAAATTTACGAAAAGACTAAAGTAGCCCTTGGGAAGCAGGCATGACGACCCTGACCTACTTCCAAGCGGCTTCTATATAGTAGTCTAGATGAAGATTGCCCGTGCTATCTGTCATGGGCGGCTTTTCATCCGTGCCCCATGACCCCTTGGGCGCGCCCCGTGGCATCCTAGCAAGCCTTCCAATGCCTAGCACCACGGACGGCCCCGTGGTCTTGGCCGCGCCAAGTGACAAGTGCGCATGTGCCTCTGTCGCCCCACCGATATCCCTCGCCAGCGCCCAACCGCAGGCAGATGCCAACAGCACCGCGCGTGCAGACAACGCCGCGCGCGCACACCCTGATGCCAAAGACTATGCTGCTGACAACGGACCCGTTTCTGCCTTATAGCAAACTAAGTCTTTTTCATTGTAAATATAGAGTAGTTTTATTCCATGTACTTCCATTATGTTTCTCTAGCTTAATCAAGTCTAGTCTTGTAGCTTTGGATTATTTTTTTTAAGCATTATTAGGGGGGATCAAGCAATCAAACTTTCTAGCAAGCAAACAATTCTCTGTACTGGTGTCTCTCCCCCTCGACACCGCGTTGCCTTTCTGTAATAGCTTTCATTAATGCAATCAAGCTTTCTTTCATTCTCAATTCTCATTCATGTTCTCTCAATTGCTCTTGACATTGGTTTTCCCGTACGGCACTGACAATCTAGTCTAGCGTACGGAGGGGACCTCAGTTGGCGGACAGCAACTGCACTGACATCAGTTGCTTAGCCTTACGTCGCCCTTCCAAGGAATCTTAGGAAGGCGCCGCGTAACATATCGCACGGGCCCAACATATCAAGCATTCTGTTTGTTTTTTATGTGAGTGTTCTGTTACCAATGGAATAGTGGTCCATCTGCAGATAAGAAACTCGGCTATCACAGGCAGGAGGCTTTTCGATATAGCATAGAAAATTGTAGGATGGTACAATATCCGCAAAATAGGACATAAAAAGAATCTACAACATTACTGCTATCCAGTTAACCATAGGTAACAATTACAACCAGGTATTATTGATGTAATATCCATAAAATTTGCAAAATGTGTATCTTCAAGTGAAGCAACCCGTTAAGAATAAGCAGAACAAGAAAACACACTTGAGAATTTATCCCTGTAACCAAAAAGTGTTCATATAAGTTGTAATGTGAAAATGCCGCTGCAGGGAGTCTTACGCTTTGAGTATATTAATGAAGAAAATAAGCATTGAAGCTCGGACAGGCCACGGTTCATATCATCTTCAGCGAAAGCCGCTCTTTCAACTGCTCAACTCTTTCACATTCTTCTCAGTTTTAATAAACTTAGCCTGAAAAGTTGAATTACTGTCTTAATCAAATTGAATAGGAAAAATAGCAATGCTTACTATGGTATGATTGACATCCCAAGAAGTAATAACAATAACAATGAAGTAAAGAAAGACATTAAAGATCAAAGCATATATGCTGCTGATTTTCCTGTCCCTGAAGCCATGG